CAACATCATGCTCCATCCCACATTAACGAAACCCTCACCGCCATAACTGATAGCCCTGCCACACCGACTCCATTCCCCCACAATAATCCAATGAGAATTCAATTCCTCCAAAAGACCCATTACCCTATCCTTTTCCCAATTGACAATCTTTACCTGTTCCGCAGAATCCTACACCTAATAGCCTTTTATCACCAAACCACTCAAGCCCACCCCAATTCATATTAAAAACTTGTCTTTATCAGCCCACTCCTCAACAATCCATGGGTATACCCACTTTTAGTTATAGGTTTTGCACGAACATAATAACACGAAGCAGCCGAATATGAGGGCAACTTACTTGGCATTTGGTATTGAAAGGAATACTGGCCGCTCGACCCGCTCCTCTTCCGAAACAATCCCGAGTAGACAACATATTTGACCGGCGTGGACAACCGGGATGCCATCCAACAACCGTCTGCTACAACTTCCGGTGGATCCTGGCTTCCGAGTGAAACGAGAGGAAAATCATGGTGGAGAAGCAACATTTTAAAACACCACCGCTATGCACTGCTTGGAAGAAGAGGACTGGCTGGGAAGGAGAAAAGGTTTCCACGACGAAACCAACGGCGGTTGCAGAGGACCACGCAATCCTAAACCCGGCAACAAATTGGAAGAGGGAGGTAATGATTACTAAAATGTGTCCTTTTTATATGTTGTTAACACATAAATGATTTGATCTGCTATTTTTTTTTCTTGCGTTTACAGGAGGCCGAGGCCAGGAAGAGAGACAGGAAACAGGGGGGAGGGGTTACAGAGTAGGGGTGGAAGGGGAACGATCCGACGCTCAAAGGTAGTCCCTAACATATCGTCTCGGAGAATCGATGTCAATCCATTGGGCGGATTCGCAAGCTCATGCATACCGTAGGGATAGACGAGACTGTGCTTCGAGAGCCAGTGCGCGACTCTATTCCCTTCCCGGTACGTATGAGTTATGCGCACCACCCAATCTCCGCCAATCTTTCTTCTAATAGCTGCTAGCAAAGTCGCATAAGGATGAATCGGGTCCTGTCGAGAATTAATCAAATGGATAGCCAACTGCGAGTCTGAAGCCACATGGAGGAAACTGCAGCTGGCCTTCCGCGCTATATCAAGTCCGTAGTAGATGGCCCAGAGTTTCGAGAGAGCAGCCGTTGCCGTGCCAAGGTTTGCGACGAAGCCAGCTATCCACCTGCCATTCGGGTCTCGAAGAGCACCCCCAGCACCGGCCGGGCCGGGATTCCCTGTCGAAGCACCATCTACCTGAAGAGACAGCCAGCCCTCCTGAGGGGGCGTCCAGCCAACCTGCGCCATAACTCGATCGGCAGGAGGCTGCTTGTTGCTGGGAGACGAGATGGGGCACTCCACGCATCATGCCAGAGCTTGGTTTTTGCCATGATGGAATGCTCAAGATAATGCGGAGACAGGGCCGCCCCCATCCCTTTAAAACAAGCCGTCGAGCGGTTCTTCCAAATGAGCCAAAGAGCTGTGCAAAAGAAAGCCGACCATTGCATACCAGTAGCTGTGCTGTCTGTGCTCAAAATGTTTGCCCGGAACCACTCTCTAGGATTTGAGCTGAAGAAAGAGTGCTGGCGAGCGGGCGGCACACATCTAGACCAGAAGAAACTCGCCGGCGGGCAGTCCCTCAGGGTGTGGAGGACTGTTTCCGGGTGGCCAGAGCATCTGTAGCAAGAAGGGTCATCTGTTACCTTCCTGTTGTGGCGCAGTCCACTCATTGCAATCTTCCCCAGGACAGCCAGCCAGGTAAAGCTTCTCACTCTCTCGGCGACTTGAAGCTTCCAAATCGATTTCCACAGAGGCTCATCCAAGTCCCGTTGGTGGTCCTTACTGAGGTTATAGGCTGACTTCGCAGTGAAGTTTCCATCCGAGGAAGCCGACCAAAATAGAGTGTCATCCTCCATTGAGAGTTTGTCCACCGCCACACTGAGGATCTTCTGGGAAACTGCTGGGGGCAGCAGCCTATCGAACAAGTCCACCCTCCAGGTCCCGTCATCCTGAACATACTCCGCCACAGCCGCCTCCTCGATCCCCGCCTACAGCTGACCAATCACTACCTCCTTGAGAGGGACCTGCAAAACCCAGGGATCAAGCCAAAACTTAGTGTGTTTACCATTTTTAATATTCCAAGCACATCCCTTTCTCAGGAGGTTGGCAGCTTTCGAGAAGCTTGCCCAGATGAAGGAACTTCCCTGAGAAGGCTGAAGGATGTCAAGGTGTCTCCGATCTCGCCCATACTTGGAGTACATGATCTGGGACCAAAGGGTATCCTTTTCTTTGAGTAACCTCCACCCACTTTTGGCCAACATGGCCAAGTTAGCTTGTCTGGTGGGTCTGATGCCTACTCCGCCCATGGTCTTGGGTAGCGTCATCTTCTCCCAGGCTACTAAATGCATCTTGCTCCTGTTCTCCTCATCTCCCCAGATGAAATCCATGTTAATTTTGTCAATGCTATTGCAGACACCACTCGGGATTAGCTCAGTATTCATATGATAGACAGGTAAAGACGCGGAAACTGATTTAGCAACAGTAAGCCTAGCCGCGAAGTAGCAGTGACTGGTATCGCTCCTTCGTGATGCGCCCGTGAATCGTCTGGATCCCAAAATATTTCCCCAGATCAGCCGTCAAAGGAATGCCTGCACGGTAGCTCAGCCTCTCAGCCTTCTGGTGACCAATGTTTGGTGAGACGAAACATCGCTTGATGATCCCGATCTGTCCTGAGCTGACGCAGAAGTCATGAGCTGACGCAGAAGTCTTCAAGGCATCGCTTGATGATCCCGATCTGTCGAGTCTCAGCCTCTGCAAAAAGCAACAAATCATCTGCGAAGAAAAGATGAGTGAGAGGTAGACCATTCTGAGACAATCTAAGAGGCTTCCAATCTCCACTAGCTACAAAATCATCAATTAAATGGGAGAGGCGTTCCATGCAAAGAACAAAAAGATAAGGGGAAAGCGGATCTCCCTGACGGACTCCCCTGGTTGGGGAGAAAGGTTGAGAGAGCTCTCCATTCCAAATGATCCTCATCCGGTTCTGTTCCACACAGTGCATAATGCAGTTGATCCAGGAGCTAGGGAGGCCAACTTTCTTCAGGGTGTCCCGCAGGAAGTCCCAGCGAAGTCTGTCATAGGCTTTCTCCAAGTCAATCTTCACAATGAGGCCCCCCCTTCTTTCCTTTCTTACGTCTGAGTGAATGAAGAACTTCTTGGACCACTATGATGTTGTCGGTCGTCTGCCTGCCTGGGATGAAGCTACTCTTCCTGGAAGACACCAGCTTCCTCATGAGGGGCTTCAGTCTACTCGTCATAGCTTTTGTGATGGCTTTGAGGCTCACGTTTTTTAGAGATATAGGCCTCAACTGGGTCACTCGTTCTGGATTCTCCACCTTCGGGATGAGTACCATAGTCGACTCAGAGACCGACTCAGGCAGAGTCCCGTTGGAGAAGAAATCGATAGCCATCTCCGAGATGCTCTTTCCAACGACTTTCCACATCTGCTGAAAGAAGGCAGCATGGAACCCATCCGGACCAGGGGCTTGGAACGGTTTCATATCAAAGATGGCCATGTGGATATCCGTGATAGTAAACGGCCGAAGGAGAGCCATCAACTCTGATTGAGTAACCGTCGGGAAGGAGCCCTTAGGAAGCCTGTCTTCATAAGGAGTATCATCCTGAGTATATAAACTCTCGAAGAAGTGAATAACTAGAGCAGCAAGCTCATCCGGATCCGTCACCCAATTCCCATTCTCATCCTGCAGAGTGTCAATCTTGTTCTTGCGCCTCCTGATGTTGGCCAGCTGATGAAAGTAAGCAGTATTCCTTTCCCCATACTTCACCCAATTCTCCCTTGCTCGCTGGAACAAGATAAGTTCCTCCTGAGCTAAAATATTATCTAGCTCGGCTTCTAGTTTGGAATGTAGTTTGGCGAGGCCGGGGGAGAACGCAACTGCCAGCCTGGTCTCGACTCCTTTGAGCCGAGCCAGTAAGCGCCTCTTCTTATGCTGAATATTGCCGAAGATGTTGGAATTCCAATCTTGAAGTTTACCTGCAAGTTGGGACAAGGCAACATGAAAAGGAGTATCAGGGTTCCAAGAGTCAGAAATAAAATCAGCAAAGCTGTCATGAGTGAACCACGCAGCTTCGAATTTAAAAGGACGAGGGACAGAGGGGGGGGGGGGGCATCCCTGGGCGGTAATGGAGGTCATGATCGGGTTGTGATCGGAGTGGAAGCGAGGGAGATGAGTGACTGAGGTGCTGGGGAAGCTCATGTTCCACTGAAGATTACAGAGACTCCTGTCAAGGCGACTAGCTCTGTAGGTTTGGGGTTGATCCCCTCGAGTCCACGTGAAACGGGGCACGGAGAAGCCAAGATCAACCAGTTCCGCCAGATTGATTCTCTCATTGAAGATGTGAACGCGCCGAACAGTGGAGCTTGTGGGAGGGCCTGCCTTCTCTTCCAGAGACCGACTTGCGTTGAAATCCCCCGTAAGAAGCCAAGGGATATCTATCTGTTTGCTCTGCTCAATCAGGCATTCCCAGAGACTCAGCTGCTCGCTGTACCGGGGCGAGGCATAGACCGCGGTCAGAATCCAGGGAGGCGCCGAGTTCTGAGAAATTCGCAAGGAGATATGATGGTTACAGGCTGAAACAAGATGCGTAGTAAATTTCCCAGCATCCCAGAACACCCAGATTCCGCCCTTTCTCCCCTCGGCTTCAACCCTCATCGAATTGGGGAAACCCATCTTATCACAAGTAGAGTTGGCTGCGTCCCCACTGATTTGGGGTTCAAGAAGGATCAAAAAATCCGGGCGCTGCTGCTGAATAGCTAAACGAAGGGCTCGAACAAAGGCGGTGTTACCTGCACCACCAACATTTCAAGAGAAGATTTTAATACTATGATTGTTAGACATAAGGAAAAGGAAACAAAAGGGAGAAAGAAAGACACAGAAGTGGAGAGGGTCCGAAAGGCATTAGGAAGCAGTGGTGAGCATCGCCTCTTCCGGAACCCCCTCTTGTGGCTGCTGGCTCGGCCCTTCCAAGGCGGTTTGGTCAATTGCGCTCAAGTTGGGGCGCCCTCGAGCCTCAGTCCACTCGTTAATATCCTGCAGAGTAAGATTAGCTAGCCTAACTTTGTTCTTCAATCTCTTCTCCTTAACCGGGGACCATATTTGGAGGGTCCTGACCGAATTAAGCTTGGCCTGTGACCCCTTTCTTCCTCGAGACTTGGAATTCTTTGCTGGTTTTGTTCTGGAGGCCGTTGATGGCGCCGCCTCGCTTTTCCTGCCGGAGGAGGTCGCGCCAGGTGGTTGGACGGCGATGATTTGCATCGTTGTTCCATTTGGGCCAACGACTGAGTGGGTGAGAGGAGGAGGAGCCATGACGTGGGGCACTTCTTTCTGGGTCGTATCTCCCACCTGGCCCAACTTCTTCTCCGCGTTAGACTTTTTTCCATTGATATTCTGACTAGTGGTCGAGGGTTGGGCTTCCCGGGTCTCAGAGGCGGCTATCGGCTCTTGTCCATTTTTGATCGCGTTATTGGGCCCCGGCCCAAGCAGGCCCTTTCCCAAAGGGGGTTGTTGGGAGCCCACCTTTTCCTTGCCTTTTCTCGTATCACTGCCATTGTGCTTTCCATTTCCAACCTTCCTTTCTTGTGGGCCGATATGGAGGGGTTGGTGACCGTTACTAGCTGCAACTTGGGAAAGGGGATTCTGTCCTTCCTTATTCGTATTTCCCCCTTTGCCGCTCTTTCCATCTTTGCCCGATCCCGGAATCCCCCCCTCCGCATCTTTCTTACCTTTCGCGTCCTGGCCCCTTGAATTGCGCCGACTTTTCCGACTAACTTGCATCCACGGCCCGTATCCCGGATTCTCTTCTGGTAACTCCGGGCAACTGTCCGGTGACGCCCCGCCGAGGATGGATATCGCCGCCGGTGACGTTACTGGTTGCAGGAGGGGGCAGGAATCGGACGAGTGGCCGATTTTGCCGCATTCGAAGCAGACGATTGGCAGGTTCTCGAACTCGACCTTCTGCCATTCATCATCTAACCAAATTCTTGGGACTAAGGGCTTGGAGAGGTCCACCTCTACCGCTAGATGAGCAAACTTGGCACGTTGTCTCGTTAGGGTGTGGTAGTCGAGCTTAATAGTCCGCCCTATGAGATTCCCGAGGATAGTCAACACCTCCTTATGATAGAAGTGCACTTTCAGAGCAGGAAGCTGGACCCAGACGATCATCTTCCTTGGTAGAGGATCTGACACCTTAAATTTTGGTGTCCATTGCTGAACTGTTAGGTAATGATCGTATATCATCCATGGGCCATCTGTGAGAGCACGAAAATAATCCTGTTCGTTGCTTAGCTTTACCAAGAAGCAGTCGTGATCTAGATCCATGACTTCTAGCGTTCCAACCGGTCGCCAGAGTTGTCGTAGGCGTGCACATAACGCGGTGAAGCCAACCTTGGTCCCAATGAGTCTCACAACCAGAGCGCGCTCTCACGGGGCACAGATTCTTGTTTTGAAGTTCGAAGATATGCTCAAAGCCGGTTCTCCATTACGTTCCCCCGGCACCAGATCATGCTCGCCAATCGGCGTCCACTAACTAGCCAGCGGTTGGGTTGGTGTCCCAGCTGGAGCTCCGGTGACGGCCAACGCATATGTGAACCGGGGTTGGGTCATCGCTTGACTGGCCGGAGATGTTGGTGAGCTCTCGCCCGAGTCCAAAGTTTGGATCACTGGATTAACGCTATCGATTATCATTTCAGCATCGGGGGCGGATGTCTCTTTGGAGGTCAATTGTCTAGCTCCAGCAATGGGGGCCAAGGCAATTATCGTTGTGTCCGGTGGCCGATCGGAAGGAAAGAGGGCCGGCGCCGGAGCATTCGATTCACCAAGAGGCGTTGAGAGCATTTTTTCCTGAATATTAATAACTTTCTCGGGATCGATTACAACTAACTAATTGGTGATTTGATCTGCTATTAACACATAAAAGGAACTTTAGACTACTAATAATGATTTGGAACATCAAGGGCTTACCTCCAGCACCTTGATACATCGTCGCTGGTGAAGACGGTGGGTTTTACTGGGCAAGAAGCGGCCCAATGAACACAAATGCGTAGCGTACGTATCCGCCCGTTTAGTTATTTTTCCGGCTCCCCAAAATACCCCTCCACAAAATACTATGAAGGCAGGGATTTTGAAATGGGGTTGCTATTTTCTCATCTCATTATTAATTATATTGTAGATTGTGGTCTTCATTTTTGGATAACCTGTTCGTGGAGCTGAAGCCAGAATGGGAGAGCGTCTATTTTAGAAGAATTCGATATTGAAAGTGTGAATAAAGCTTTATTATTATATTATTACTAGCATGAAAGTACGCGCTGGGCGGCGGCCCATAAATTTAGTAATTTTGGAGTATAAACAGGTAATTAAGGTTATGAAGAGTAACATTGTCAGAACATTTGGTTATTTAAACTATAGCAAATTCAACTACAGACAAAAACATTTAATGATTGATGGATTTTATGTCCAAAAAGAACCAAAGAAGCAGTTGATTTAAAATATCTGTTAAGTTATGAGCTTAAGATCTTATCATAGCAAAGCAGGTGAAAGAATTGGGAGGTATATATGCCATAGGTTGGGTGCATGGTGATGGCAATGATACTAGTTAATGTTTCTAATTTTGACCTTGCACATGAGTAGCTGTTCTAGTAACGCAAAAAAAAAAAATACAATAAAGTGTTGAATAAGTACATGAAGTCTTAAGCAGTATGTTAGTTGTTCACTGCATCGGTCTTCCTTCATATAGTATACTGGAAATGAGCAAGTGAGTTCCTGCGAGGCTCTAATGTTCTTAACAAAAGATGGTGACATCAATGTGTGACGTATTTGCTGAGCTGCAAATCAATACATGTGGACATGAATAATCAGAAAGGGGAAACAATATAACATTCTAGCTTGACAAACAATGGTCGTCTTTGAGACACCTGGTGCAACTTATGTCATGCTAATGTCAAGCAACAAATATATAATAAAAAGAGAACCAAACGAGAAGAGGAAGGTAGCAAACAGAATGGTAAGGTCATGCTGAAGGGAAAAGGATAAGAAAGTGATTAGATATGTAATTTTTCAAATAACTCGACCAAATAGCATTTTGATCATTCCATTGCATTTTCTCTTAAGGTGACAGTTGCGCCTACTTATAGCATTCTAACCTAAGGTGCAAACCGAGATGCATATATCGAGCCTAATCTCAAAATAAGCTAGTGCTTGTATTAAGTCAGTGAATGACATTGGAATTGATGGATCTAGTAGCTGTCAATTTTGCAGAGGGATTGGGGAAAAGTGTCGTGAAAACTGATTTATCACAAAAAGTGAAAAAATGCGCAAAGAAAGCTAAATAAAAATTATATAGCATAAGTACACCAATATCGTGAAGAACAATTACTAAAGGCAGCAAACCATCTTTTCTCACAAAGACATAAGTGTAATTCTAAAAGAGCAATGACATCACAACACGATAAGAGCAAGAATGCAAAGCTATTAGAAGCATTCAAAGAGTGCCAGCTGCCTTGAATAGAAAAGCTCACAAAATTTCTGATCTTGAAGTCCAAACTCACATAGGGAAAAGCTATATAAATTTTATTTTGCAAGAGAAAAATTCAAGGCATCATGCAAGTAATATCCTTTGATCCACACCAGAGACATCATGATGAAATGTTTTGGATTGTGAGGGTAGTTTTTTGCACCTAACGTTGTTGTCGTTGCCATTGATTGTCGTAGAAGTAGAGCCAAATAGGACGTGGATACGTTGCTGCAGATTATCCCCTCAAATTTGTACGTCGTCCATGTACTATTTGGGGCCTTTATCACTGAATGAAACCACGGATTCGACGATGCCTTTTTTATGAAGAAGGCGTCTTCAACCCGTCCATTCCCATATCGGATTCCTAAATGCAAAAGCAACATAACAATGTAGTTACTTACATGTATAGACCATTCTCGCGAAAAGGAAACCACAAACAACAACTTGAAAGGAATAGAGTTGTCATAACTGAATGACTATGAGCTGCATTTGAAAAAACCCTCAATGTGCTACTAACCAGAAGGCTATGCAGGTAAAGAAAGACTAAACAGAAGGAAAAAAAAAAACGCATCTGAAGCTTAATCTAATAAAAGTTACCCCAATGAAAAGATAATAACAAAACACGAATGTCTAACCTGCAAGCAACAAAAGCCTTGCTCTTCATTGGCCTGAAAATGTGGAAAAAAACATTAGGGATATCAGCGTCCTTGCCCTTTTCACAGTCAATATGTTCCTAGTGTATTTATAGATTCCTGATGCATTAGAATGTTGTCTAAGCAAATAAGGGGAAAAGGAAAATTACAGTTATACTCAAAACATCATGACTGACCAGACCTCGAAAACTAACCACAGGAATCAAGGGCATGTGGATGCTTGTGTATCCATTGCAATTTCTCTGTGAACTGTATAGAAGTTGGGGGCAAAATATGAGTCAAAATAGTTTACGTTCCTAAGCTAAGATATCCCAAAATGAGTGCATTATATCAATAAAATATGACACTATATGAGATGCTCTGATGTGTTTTATGAGATCACTGATTAACCTTAGTGGTTTGGTCTCATGAAAGTACATTGATAGTGAACATTGATTATTGACCGATCTAATATCTAGTTTTAGGTGGTTCAAGTTCAGCCCTACTCTTTCATATAGTGTCTTCTGTTGTTATTATCCTGTCAAATTTGCAATTAAATATGACATTTAAAAAACACCAAATGAACTGACTAAATAGGATGAGGAGTAAGATATAATAATCGACCAGTGAGCCTGTATGGACCGGGACCTTGATGGCCTTACAACATGCAACACACTGTAAAAATGAAAGCATACAACATTTTTGTATGTGAGTCATTCTCCTTATTGCTATTCACCTTATTCTCATTTTTATGACAGTCTCCCACTACATAAGCACCTAGCACCATCTGGAGGGAAAAGAACAAAGCACAATGAACACAATATACCATCTGTTTGACCTGGATTAGTGTCGGGTGATTAGTGTGGAACCTTGATCCGGACTCTCTCGTCTGATCTCCTCGAGAGTGGAAGATCCTGTGGAGAGTCGGGGGCGGCCCCCGTGATCTACACTCCGATGCTCAAGTCAGTAAGGATAGATGAAAGTGTAGAGAGAAATGTAGAGAAAGATAGGGTTTAGAGAGAGAACCATAAGTTGTAAAGTGTGGGAAGGGGGAGAAGTCCCCTTGCTTGGAGGGTCTAGCCTCCTTATATAGGAGTCGGAGGCATCCAGTGGACGCCTCCCAGTGGTGGGCGCCTCCCGTTGTAATGGACGCTCTCGGTAGACTGGACGCCTCCCAGTGATGGACGCCTTCGAGTAAAGGACGCCCCGGGTGGACTGGATGCGTCCCGGTGTACTGGACCCTAGAATGGGCTTGGACCCAAGGTGAGATGCTTTGTGGCGGGCTTGGGCTAGTATTAGGAGGGTTAATACTAGATCCAACATTTGCCCCTTTGCTTCTTGTATTCTGTAAGAATGGAAGAAGTAAAATAACGCGTTAAGGTGTATTAACTTGCCTTACTTGGAAGTCCGCACGATGCAGTTTTGCCCATTGTGCGACCATTGCTTGGTGATGGATGCCCCTAGTGATGGATGCCTCCCGGTGGACGAGACGCCTCCCTATGATGAATGCCCCCGAGTGGATTGGACCCTCGCGAGTCTGAACGATGCGGTTTGCCCCTTGTGCGGCCATCGTCCTTGCTTCTTTGTTTAGCATTCGATGTCTCGAGTTAGAGCTCTCAGGTCGTTTGAGATTTCCCCACTAGCCCATTGCGGAGTGTGCTAATATGTAGGCCGTAACTATGAGCTATATGCGTTAAGCTGTTGGACCGCGAGATGGGCATGAGCTTGTGTGCATGTTAAGCGTGAGTTGTTGGCTGAATATTAGGCGTTGACTATGTGCTAGGGAGGGGCCCCCACGACTTGAGAGTTTTAACTCAAGGCGATGTTTGTGTATTGAAGATGCCACACCTGCCGGGAGGCGGGATCGTGTTAGCTATACCGATGTCGCGCCTACTGGGAGGCGGCTTTAGGCTTCTACCTTGAGGGGAAACATCGCTCAGGAAGCGGGATGCGGCTTTATATATGCGAAATATGTGAGTGACTAGTGCCTCATATTTTTAGAACACAAACATAAGCATAGC